ATTTATTAAGGTTTTCTTATAGTCTCTACAGAGGAAGTTGCATGATAAATAATTACGGACACCATTATCTTTACAAAGTAGCAGTTGCAGAATTAGCTTCAGGATTAGAATTTACTAATTCTGGCTTTTTACAACAAAACACACAAAAAGCAGGAGGCTGTGGTCTTCTCTAAACAGGAGCCTTTTAGCTTTGCACAAAATCCTCTGTAGACAAATGAATTAAATCTCTAAAATTCATTTATTGTCATTTTCACAATTGTCTTAGAGAAAGATACATTCAAATTTCTGAGCTTACAGAAGAAACCACAATTTTATAACTCTTTTGAACAATCAAAAAAAAATTTTTTTTTTTAAACAGTTTTCTCCCTCACGGATAAAAATTAAGGTGGATCTAGAGATCTTTGTTTTCACTAAGACACACTCTTTTTTAATTCAAACTTACTTTAAAAGTTTACAAAGATTCTAGGTCTATTTCTCTTATCTTCTGGACTTCTGAGAGTCCAGCTGTTTTTGCAGACATTGCCATTTTCAGTGTCTCTCTATTTTGCAGACAGTACACTGATTTTTCTCAACCACTCTCTGGGTCAGGTCTCCCTTGGTGGGGCGGGGGAGGACGCCTTTGCCACTTCTTGGTGGCCGACTTCATCCCCTCTGTCTCAGGAGACTCTTTGGGCCCTTGACGTTTTTCTTTCTTGGGCTGTAAAAAATTCTGTCATCACCTTTTGCTTCTCTTCATTTGTGTTCACTCTATTTACCACACACCACTAAATCTAGTCCTTGTTTTGCCACATTACTTAAATAGCTCTTCACACAATTCTTCCCAGTCCTCCTCTTGTACACAATCTCAATTAGTGGGCACCTAATTTGACTTTATACACACAAACTTCAGAGTTTTCACTTTGCATGTGGAACATATGCCTTGATGGTTATTAAAGCAACAATACCAGCATCTATTCACGGTTAAAACAAATATTAGCCACTTTACACTTAAGCACAACACTCCTCATGTACACTTGGGTTTGCTCCACACTGACTCCAGCCGCTCCGTGGATAGAGCTCCACACTCGCTCCGCACCTCTGGTGCGTCTCACTCGCTCATTCACACACCAAACACACTCAGTGACTCAACGTGTCCGGACTTAGCATTCACACAAAACAAGGGTTCGCTTGACTCACCCCCAGAGTCGCTAGCGGGCTGCTCTTATCAGCTCAGCGAGAACCATCCCCCTTGTCAGCCACGCTATCGGCCAGGATCGATCCCTTTACCACTGTCTCTGGCCCCTCCTGGCTGGGTGCTTGCAAGCCCACCAGGACTGTGCTGTACGACAGACATCTCTGGTCGCTTTACCAGCAGCTCTCCCCTTCATATTTAATTCATACCTTTATCCGCAGGCCGGCAGGTTGTTGTCTGTCCCCGTGGTGAGCGAACCGAGGCTCGGGGTCCCTCACGGAAAGTCTTGGGGGCATGCCAGGGAATCTGTTCCTCGGCCGCTCCCGCAGCCAGACAGAGACCCTCCTGGCTGGCTCGCCAAAATGATGTAAGGAATAAAAGAAACTCTATAACTCGCAGAGTAGTTATAAGAGCAGGTATGAATTTATTCAGCATTGAGGTACATGGGGATATCTCCTCCAAAAAGCATGCACACCTTTTTGATTAGGTTTTCCCTTTTTATCCTTTACAGACTAGGTTTACACGATACACCTAATATATATTAATTTCTTAACCCTACCTGTCTTCACTTCATATTACAATTAGCCCCATGCCCCTTTCAGTTCTTTGGCCACTTTTTGGGACTTCAAATCTGTTTCTTCCGGCTTAGGGTCCGAGGAATCTCCTTTATCCTGTGGTGCCTTTGTCTTTGCATCTTGTTGTGTATTCTAGCTCCTTATCTCATCTTGCAGTGTGACCCTTTTTCCTGTTCTTGTGGATTAAGGTGTCAGGGTATGGTTTTTGTCAGACACCCCTTTTAGTCAAGCATTTCTTCCTAATTCTTAATTTCTTTGTTTCAGAGGGTCCTGTTCTGGGTGGTGGTGGCAAAGCAATAAGCTAGTAATGCAGCTTTGGTGGGGACAACAGACACTGGCCTGGAGATGGAGGAAGAGAGGTGTAGTTCTCCCTGACTGAAGCCTTTGGCCAGTCCTGTGAAGCTGCAGAAGTACTTCTGTGGAGAGGGTAGAGCTCTCAGCTGTCGCTGGCACACAGGGACCCTCTTGCACAGCAGGGCCCAGAGCGGCCAAGGCTCCCCGGCACAGCTGCAGCTGCTGGCACAGCTTGGCCCAGCTGGACAGCTGCCCCTCAATGCCCCAGCGAGCAGGGGATGGCTCTGGGCAGGATCCCTGCTGTCTGCTTTCCAAGGACAATCTTATCACCACTCTTTCTCCTGTCCACCTTGCTTTGCCACTGCCTGGAGCTCCTGGGGCTGCTCCCGGCCATGATTAATAAGCACTAATTATTCTGTCAGGAAAGGGACATTGAGAAGTTGCCTCCAGCATGTGCCATGATCTTCACAATGTGATTGACTGGAACTTACAGTCAATCCATATCTCAATGCCAGTCTAGACAGGAGCACAGATCAGAAGTGTTTTCTTGGTGTGCTGGGCTCCCCATCCTGTTTAGGGAACAAGGCACTGCAAGGAGGTTCTCAGTGGCAGAGAAGCCACTGCCTGAGATGTAACCCCGGGTGCCTTCAGTTGTAACCCCGGGTGCCTTCAGTGGCTCAGGGAGTGGCTGTGGCTGTAAATGTGTGTTTGTCTGCAGTGCAGGGCCAGGGCTTAGTGAGGCCCTTGTTGTGCCTCAGGCACTGCTCAGCAGCCCCATCGGAGCAGGGGTCTCAGCCCTTCCCTGTTGGGACTGACCAAGCCCGGCCCAGCCACAGGGTGGGGCCTGACAAGGGCACGGTGGGTCCAGAGGCCCAGCCTGGCCCCGGCCCCCAAGGGATGGGCTCTGTCTGCCTGCACAGCCCGTAGGCGAGGCCCGAGGCTTTGCAGGAAGCTTCCTGCCAGCTTTGCACAACTTCGACCAAGAGTGTCCCTTTGCTGTGCTGAGAAGAATAACAAACCCCTCTAGTTTAACCCTGCTGCACACCTCATGAGGGATCTCTACAAATCATAGGAGAGACCATATTCATTTGTGCCTCATGAGGGATCTCTGCAAACCTTTACAGAGACCCCAGAATATCCCTTGTTCCTCACAGGGAGTCCGTGCACATCTTTTGAGAGACCCCAAAACAATCTTGTGTGCCTCACAAAAGCATCCGGGCCCCCTGCCCCACCTTAGGAGGGACTCAGCTCCTCTCCAGGCCTTGATGGCAACCACTAAACTGCCACATAAATCACGAGGAACTCCAGCCCCCTGCCAGTTCTACAGAGGTCTCCAGTCACCTGTAGCCATAGAAGTGACCCCAATTCCCCTAAGAACTTCAAGAGGAAATCTCAGCCACAAGCACCACTTACAAAAAACCCAAACCCCTGCATGTCTTACTGGAAAACACAACACCCTGCCCATGTGCCTCATGATGGACCCCAATCATCTGGCAGCCTTACAGGGGTCCCCCACCACCTGCATGCCACATAAAAGCCAGGTGTGGCATTAACTCTAGCCAGAAGCATGTTCCATGACAGAAACCTTTCCAATGCCTTTCTGGGAATAGGGAACACGTGTTGTGATGCTGGCTTCATCTGAAGGAGTAATGGGCAGTGTGAGCCTGGCAGTGCTCCACTGTTGAGCTTGCTGTTGGGGTCACAGGCACAGAGTATGTACCATTATCTATGATAGATGGCTCTTAAAACCATGAAAGCTCTGAATTTCACATAATGCCATGGAGACAACTGTTAAAGTTAAATAGAAAAACTAGGAGTGTGAGTGTGTAAGTTAGAGAATTTTCTTAAGTCACTCGGTGAAAAAGTTAGAGTTTAAGGTTGTCTTTTTCTTTTAAAAAGAAAAAGACAAGATGGAGGATTTAGGGTGTTGTCTCTTCTTCCTTCTTCTTCCTTCTTCCTTCTTCATCTTCTTTTTCTACGGGTTTTTTGGTAGTAATACATGATTGGATAAAAAGTGCCGCAGTGCAGCACACAGGTATCAGGTCATTGAGTTACTAAATAGAGAAATAATTTACTTGACATTTGTTAATTGGATAAATAGACATATAAAAAACCTTGAAGAAGTTGTTAGCCATTTTGCACCTTTCAATCTTAGTGCATGTATGTCCTCATACCCTGTATACATGTAATATAGATAAGAGAAGAAGAAAAAACCAAGTATGAACAGGAGAAAACTGCCTCTCTCTCATTAATCATAGCCCATAGGAAGAAGGACTCAGCCACCAGTGTCACATACCAACAGCTGGCAGCACAGTGCATACGGCCAGGATGGTCTCTGTTTCTCTCAGACCTGAAGCCTGCAGGCACCTTGTCAATCCCAGACACAGGCTGTGCCACCCAACAGAGCCCAGAAGGCCGGGAGCAGAGCCAGGGACAGCGCAGCTGCTTGGGCAGTGGCTCCTTCCAGGGACACAGGCCAAAGCCATCCCTGAGCAGCCACTGCCACCCCTGACCCTCCCTGCTCTGTGACAGCTCCCCCAGCACAAGGAGACAGAGCCAGGCCCTCCCAGGACACACTGGAGCCTTGCCCTCCCCCTCTGCCCTTTCCCCACCGTTGCAGCCACTGCCAGGTGTCAGGACGTGTCTCCCATGGAGGGACCCCAGCAGGACTGCTCAGTAGCCGAGTGTCCTGAGCCTGTTGGGGATAATTCCTCTGTGCTGGGCTGGTTTTGTCCCGGTGGTGTAACAGAAAGCATTAAGAATTAAATGCAGTTTTATTTATTATTGCAGAAATGTGAAAATATTTTATGCTTATCAGATTTGTAAAACAACACTGAAAATTCCTAAATTACCATGGAAATAGGGAAGAAATATTTGTGGATTTCTTTCTACCAAAAAAACAAATTCTAAATATTTCTAAAAATTTCTGATTTTCAAAATGAAAAAGAAAGGTAGCATGGTGTCTCAGGAGCCATTCACCAGGCTGCTGCCTGCCCAGCCTGGGCTGTGCCCAGCCAAGCAGCTCTGCCACTGCTGGTAGTACCAGCCAGATACCAGAGCTGAAGCCCACAGGTGCTGCTGGACTCAAGCCCTGCCTTGGCAGGAGGGCCCCGCCATCTGTCCTGTCTGGTGAGTAGGGCCAAACCCTTTGTGGACAGAGGCTCCTGTTCTGTGTGTTGGTGGCAGCATGGGCATAGCAATAAGTTGATAATGCAGCTGTGGCAGGGACAATGGACACGTGCATAAGGATGCAGGATGACAGGGGCAAGTCTCCCAGACTGATGTGTTTGGCCTTTCTTGTGAAGCTGCAGAGGGGCACCTATTGAGAGGGAAGGTGGCTGAGGCCCCCAGCTGCAGCTGGCACACAGGAGGAGATTCTCACTGTGCTCAAAGTTTCCCTCTGAAGACTAAGAGGGGAGCTTGTCAGAAGTCCCAAAAAGTATCTGGGAAAAGGTCTTAGGTTAGTTGTTGAGACTAGGTACAAATCTCCCAGTGGGAAAAGAACCTCTCCAGTAGGCTGGGTATTTAGGGTGTCTTAGTTCTTCCTAGAGTAAAGATTACCAATTGAATGCAATTTCAGTTTTTATTCTAGAAGTGTAAAAATGTTCCAAGTTTTTCTGAATTCTAAAACTACTTTGAAAAATCCTGAACGACTATGGAAATGGGGAAGAAATGTTTATAGATCTTTTCTACGAAAATTATTTCTAACTATATCTAAAAATTTCAAATTTCTAAAAATGAAGAGCAAAGACAAAACGGGGTCGCCTTTTCAGATTTCTAAAACTCTTTTGAAAAATCCTAAATGACAATGGAAATCAGGAAGAAACATTCGGGGATTATTTTCTACCAATATTAATTCTAAAGAGTTCTAAAAATTTCTCATTTCTCAAAATGAAAAACAAAGATAGCATGCTGCCCCATGCCCAGCTGCTGCCTGCCCAGACAAGGCAGTGATCAGCAAAGCAGCTGTGCCAGTGCTGGTGGTACCAGCCAGACCTCAGAGCTGAAGCCCAAAGGTGTTGTTTAAGCCCTTCCCTGGCAAGAGGGGCCCACCTTCAGGCATGGCAAGACACCAGGGCCAGCACCTGCAGGGGCAGAGGGTCCTGTTCTGCATGGTGGTTGCACCTCCACAGCAATGAGCTGGTAAGGCAGCTGTGGCAGGGACAACGTACACTGGTTTGGAGATGGAGGAAGACGGGTGTAGTTCTCCCAGCCTAACATGTTTGGCAGGACGTTTGAAGCTGCAGAGGCACTCCTGTTGAGAGAAAAGGTGACTGAGGCTCCCAGTTGCCACTGGCACACAGGGACTCTCCTGCACTGCAGGGCCAAGAGCTGCCAAGGCTCCCCAGCACGGCTGGAGCTGCTGGCACAGCTTGGCCCAGCTGGAGAGCTGCCCCTCAAGGTCCCAGTGAGCAGGGGATGGCTCTGGACAGGGTCCCTGGCAGGAGCAGGCCCCAGAGCAGGTCTGCCTTTCAAGGGCAATCTCTTCCCCTCTCTTCTTCCTCCCTGCCTTGCTTTGCCTCTGCCTGTTGCTCCTGGGGCTGCTCTTGGCCAGGCAGCCTCAGTGGCAGCCAGCATGGGCTGCAGCCCGAGCGGGGTCCCCAGAACAAGGCCCTGCAGTGAAGAGGCCAAAGAAAGCCCTGGGCAGCAGCAGAACTCTCAGCAGAGTTATTTGGGCAGGCACTGACTAGCCACAAGTCCACAGCAGCCTCACTGAGTATGTTTCCTGTCTACAATAGACTTTCTAAAGAAGGTGTTTGAGGGAAAGATGAACAAAACACTCACCGTTTTCTCTTCCAGGTATACCAGATTCCAAAACAGCATAAAATGAAGACAAGCTCCAAACAAAGCAGGCCAGCTGTTATCCCTAGCCAACAGAGTGTTCCCTGACAGAAACCCCTTTCAGTTGTGTTCTGGGAATCAGGAACACGTGTTGTGATACTGGCTGCATCTGTGGGAGCAATGGTCAGTGAGAACTCATGCTGTGCTCCACTGCTGAGCTGGCAGCATGCTGGGTATGGCCTGGACATTCTCTGTTTGCCCCAGAGCTGGGGCCTGCAGGCACCTTGCTGCCCCTTGGCACAGGCTGTGCCACCCAACAGAGCCCAGAAGGCCGGGAGCAGAGCCCAGGGACAGCGCAGCTGCTTGGGCAGTGGCTCCTTCCAGGGACACGAGTCAAACCCATCCCTGAGCAGCCACTGCCACCCCTGACCCTCCCTGCTCTGTGACAGCTCCCCCAGCCCAAGGGGACAGAGCCAGGCCCTGTCAGGAGCCAGTGCCAGCCCTGCCCAGTTGGGAGCCAGGGCTGGCTGTGGCCCTGAGCTCACGGAAGGAGCTCACTTGGAGCTGCTCCTGTACCTTGGGCCTCTGGATGCTTAGGGCCAGCTCTGGGAGAGCAGCTGCAGTGGGATGGACATTGGTGCATGAGTCCCATTTCCTAGAGGCTGGGAATGAGCTCCAGAGGCCTAGGAGCCAAGGTGCCTCAAGCTTTGGCTGCTGCTGGGTCATGCAAGTGCCGGCCCTGGGGGGAGAGCTGCTGGCACACAGCCCCACCAAGGGCTGAGCCCAGCACAGCAATTACCTCCTGTGTCTGGGCCTTTGCCTGGCATCGCCTTCTTTCCTGCAGCAGAGGCTGCCAACGAGCCACTGTTTCCTCTGGGAAACGTCTCCACCTGCATGGTCTTTTGGTCCATCACTTGAGAAAGGAAGAGGCACAGCTGATGGAAAAGTTCTTGATTTGGGTGCTGGCATTTTCAGGACCTCATGCTTGTCAAATACAGGGATAAGGTTCAAAAAATGCTTGACTTTTGGACTAGGGCCAGGGCCCTCCCTCCTCCAAAAAGCCGCCAATACTGAGCAGTAGTGAGAGGATCGCTTGGGGCCAGGTCACACACGTGCACGGCTCTGTCCTGGCACCTGCAGCGATGCCGCCCCAGCAGAGCTTTGGGCTCTGAGCTGGCAGCTCTCCCGGGGGAAAGGCTTTGACCTACCCTTGCCATCTCCCTGAGCCTCAGTCCTTGACGTGGATTGGGAAGCCAGATCACCTTCACCAAGTGGCTTGGCTGCAAAGAAAGGCAGGACAGAAGAGCTCCTGTGGATCTGTAGGAGATCCTCAGGCTCCCTGGGGCCAGCAAAGGAGCCACACAAGGCACAGCCCCAGGGCACAGCCCTGAGCCTGGCCCATTCCCTCTCTGCTCTTCTCCATGGCTACACAAAGCACATGGAAGGAGACACTGGCATTACACAGTGGAAGCAGATTGACAGCTAAATGCTCCTTCCTCCCACTGACAGCAATGCTGTGGGATCACTCAGGGCTCCAGAAGGGAGTAGGGCAAGGTTTCCAGAATCCTTCAGCCCTGAGATTATGTTAAGGGATTATGGCACATGAGTGAGCTCTTGCCACCTTGACATTATTCCATCAGGAAAAGCACATTGAGAACTTGCCTCCAGCATTCTTCAAGACTTTCCAGCTGTCATCTAGCAGGGCTTCCAGATAATCCATATCCTGATCCCAGTCTAGAAGCCAGTACAGGTCAGAACCATGTCCATGGTGCGCCGAGATCCACTTCTTCCTTAGGGAACTGGGCACTGCAAGGGGTTTGGGTTACATCATGAGTACCAGATGCCACTGGACATGGCCAAAGCTGCAGAGGGGACTGGGGAGCTCTGGGCCGAATCCTGGTCACTCTCCACCCTCTTTGCAGGCCCTGTGCAACATCCCTGGTGGGGTGGCAGGGCCAGAACAGGGTCCTGTGGGTTCTCTCAGACTAAACTCCTTCCCTCCCTCCCTTCTGGA